CGAATAAGCAATTCATATTTATCTCAACCGCTAAAAAAACGCACTCATTCACGTACATTAATATCTTAACTAACGCACACTAAAGTAGAAACGCACGCACCCTGTACGTTAACTGTGAACGTCAATTTATTTTTAAGTTCACTAAACGGTTAACATTGAATTTCTACAATCGGTGAATTTTACCAAGTTATTCGTCTATAAAAGTGGAGTATCACCTTACCATACAACATACATATTGAAACTGTGTCATTTCAGTTTTACAGACCATCATTCATTCTTCGTCATTTTCTTCACATTCATTAGGATGTTTACCCATCCTCATCATACTCGCCCTCCTTCTTCTTGTTTGTCAATGTAGTTGATTACAATAGCAACACATTATAAACATCCCATGGATCAAATACTATATCTCAACCCTGGAAGTTTATACGAGGATGTAAAGGAACTATTAGCGGAGCCGACATCATTTGAGTAGAGCACATGTTATCGTTGTTTTCATCTAAAGCAGCACATTTTAAGCCTGAAAGGATCTTCTTCTGTGGATCTAAATGCTAACTGATTTGGATATTCAATTTAGAGATCAACTTTGTCTGTAAGTTGAATATAACATGTGGGGCAGTTCAATACATCTGGATCAGTTAGATTTTAGATTCATAGAAGTCGATCTTTTCAAGTTTATAATGTGTTGTTTTAGCCCAGACATGCGGCAGGATCCTCTACTCCATTTGGAGATATGTCTTTTGGTACCTTAATGCAGGCTTAACCAAAAGGAATATCTCCAAAAGGTATAGACGGATCCTGTCGTTTGCCTGGATTTTTTTTTTTTTTTGTTATTAAAAACAAGCTCTCATGTCCGCCTCTGTTGTTATTATTAATATTATGCTTGTAGTAGTAGCAGTAGCAGTTCAAAGTGTAAATTATTTCAATGTAAATAATAAATCTTTCTGCATTTTATTCATTTTTTTCTTTTGGGTTGTTTTTGATAATGGTTAAATAAACTAGCAAATCCGAGTACTATTAGACTAAAATCAATGGACGTTATGTAATTTGGGATCTTAATAGTTTCGTGTTACATGATAATTTAATAGAAAAATTCAAGCACATTAAGATTTTTTTCCAAGGAAATATAAGATATAAAAAAACGCACATTAAGACCAAATTCTACGCATATTACTATGTCCGGAAAACAACATCCAGACTCACGTATTTTCTAATGCACATTATGTTACTGTATTGCGCATGTTAAGCTTTTTTGTATTTGCGATGGACTATAGTTTTAATACATAATGCAACGCACATTTTGTTGTCGTATTACGCATCTTGAGCATACGTATTGCATTTTAAATATATTCTTTTTTTTTTCTTTTTGTTTGTTTTTAATTTTCAGGAATTGTTGTTTAATATTTTTCATATAATCAAAAGTAACAGATGAGTCCACTGGTGAAATGGTAGAAGTCTTTGATTAAACTAATTCTGCCTAGGATTGAACCCTCATTAAGGTTTGATTTTTTTATTATATTTTACTTGTTTTTTGTTTAATAAAATATAATAAACGCATCTTAGACTGATATTTCGCGCACTTTAATTGGTTTCCCGACACACATTAAACTTTTGGCTTTAAAAAATCTCTTATTTCGATGCAAATTAATTAAATGTATATTTACACGCATGTTGTTCTTGTAGCTCGCGCATGTAACGGAGCAAAGCAAAGCACATTAAGTCTTTTATACCAATTCACGTAATATTCAAAGATATTTGATGTCAGAACTTTAAGGCATTTGTAGTTGGGGAAACGGATAGCATTGAATGGTCATTCAATGCCTTAAGAAACGCACCCATTAAAGGAAATCTTGAAAAATCTAATGTGTCTGTAAATCACGTAACATTCAAATCTCAAATCAGTGCATGTGATCAAGTTATTCACCTATATATAAATTAGAAGGAACAACACACAACTGAGCATCGGGTTATTGAAATGGCTATCTCTCACTTTTCCGCACGTACAGAAGAATCCTCTTCATTTATTCCTCATCTTCTATGTCATTTTCATCTTCCTCGCCCTCCAGCTTGTAGTGATTGTAACTAACTACAAAAACAACACATTCTAAACCTGAAGCATCATTCGTTATTCTCAGCTTCAAGCTCATCATCTAGCTTCGAAACATCATCCAAGGCTGAGAGTTTATCATTGTGGCAGGCTGGCAGCATGTTGGATGTTGCCGGAACCAGAACAAATGTCTTCAAAGTACTAGAAGAAATAAATATGTGCAATCGATTATATATGTACCATTTTATCTGCAAATTATTTCATAATCAAACAAAAGCACTTTAAGTTTTGCAATCGCGCATATTAGACTTATTTTTAACGCATCGTATATTAACTAATAATTAAACGCATATTAGAAAAAGAAAGTGTTAAATATTGCCTTTGTACGCATATTAAGCTTTAATGTCGCGCAAGTTAAATGTTAATCGACGCATGTAAAGACTTTGGCATTTACCACGGACCAAATTTTTTATACATAAACCAACGCACATTCGGTTTCTGTATTACTCATATTAAGCTTTAATGGAGCGTACGTTAAAAGTGTAATCAACGCATATTAAGAATTAACTGCACGCAGGTAAAGTATTAATGACACACAGTTTAAATTATTTTGCTCCATATATTAAGTTATACATACATACGCATTTTAACAATGGAAAGGATTTAAAAATGGAAGAAAAATATTTCAATATATCAAAGATAAATTAAAAACGGAAAAAATTAAAAATAAAAATATTGAAAAATATTTCAATATATCATACGCACATTTTGTTGACGTATTACGCATATTGGGCGTACGTGTTGCGCATGTTAAGCTTTTTGTTAGTTTTTAATTTTCAGGAATTGTTGTTTAATATTTTTCATATAATTAAAGTAATGGATGAGCCCACTAGCGAAATGGTAGAAGTCTTTGATCGAACTGATTCCGCCCAGTATTAAACCCCTATAAAGACTTGATCTTTTTATTATATTTTATTAAAATAAACGCATCTTAAAGTGATATTTAGCGCACTTTAATTGGTTTCCAGATGCACTTTAAACTTTTGGCTTTTAAAAATCTCTTATTTCGATGCAATCTAATTAAATGTATATTTACACGCATGTTGTTCTTGTAGCTCGCGCATGTAACAGAGCAAAGCAAAGCACATTAAGTCTTTTATACCAATCCGTCTTTACGTAATACTCAAAGATATTTGATGTCAGAACTTTAAGGCATTTGTAGTTGGGAAAACGGATAACATTGAATGGTCATTCAATGCCTTAAAAAACGCACCCATTAAAGAAAATCTTGAAAAATCTAATGTGTCTGTAAATCACGCAACATTCAAATCTCAAATCAGGGCATGTGACCAAGTTATTCGCCTATAAATTAGAAGGAACAACACACAACTGAGCATCAGGTTATTGAAATGGTTATCTCTCACGTTTCTGCACGTAGAGTTGAACCATCTTCATTTATTCCCTATCTTCTATGCCCTTTTCATTTTCCTCGCCCTCCAGCTTGTAGTGATTATAACTAACTACAAAAATAACACATTCTAAACCTGAAACATTATTCGTCAATCTCAGCTGCAAGCTCATCATGCTGTAACAAAACATCATCCAACGGCTGAGTTGAGCATTGTGGGTGGCTGGCGGTGTGTCGGATGCTGCCGGAACCAGAAGAGATGTCTTCAAAGTACTAGAAGAAATAAATATGTGCAATCGATTATGTATGTACCATTTTATCTGCAAATTATTTCATAATCAAACAAACGCACTTTAAGTTTTGCAATCGCGCATATTAGACTTATTTTTAACGCATCCTATATTAACTGATAAATAAACGCATATTAGAAAAAGAAAGGGTTAAACATTGTCTTTGTCCAGATTACGCATATTAAGCTTTAATGTCGCGCAAGTTAAATGTTAATCGACGCATGTAAAGACTTTGGCATTTACCACGGACCAAAGTTTCTATACATAAACCAACGCACATTCTGTTTCCGTATTACGCATATTAAGCTTTAATGTAGCGCACGTTAAAAGTGTAATCAACGCATATTAAGAATTAACTGCACGCTGCTAAAGTATTAATGACACGCACTTTAAGCTAGTAGCAGTGATTGTTAAACACAAATCAGTGATAAAAACAAAAACTAGTAATAGCTGAACATTAAATTCAAGTATCTCAACTGTAAAAAGCGTTCTGAAATGAGTTAACTAAGTATTTGTGTTTCATATTTGCTATCTATTTTCGTTCTCGACCGTAAAGGCGTTGTAAAAATAGTCTGCTATGCCTTTTTCTTACCCTTTTGTTTGTCCTTATTTTTGGGGTTAAGTGGGCAAGTACTGGTGTCATGGTGATCTCCTCTAACACCACAAAAATTGCACCTCCTGCCCTTTTCTTTTTCCATTGCCAACTCCTTGCTGCTTTTGATACGTTTGCCGCTGCCCTTGTTCTTTGCATGTTTCGGTGGAAGTATATTGATCTCTGAAATCTCCGTTGATCCACAAAAGGATTCTATAACAGTCTTCCTGCTGTGCTGAGGGGATAACTTTTCCTTTCCTGACATTAGCAGCTGTTTCTGTTCATTAATCACTTGCGAGAATGCAGCCAATTGCTCCATGTTTGAACCTGCTAGATCAATACAACAGTGTACATCTGCCCACAGTTTGTTCAGCATCATCTTCTTTTCATCATTTGGTCCATTCTGATCATAAATGACACCATCTATTTCAAATGTAGCCTTTAAAGATGCATTCTTAGTCCATCGATTAACCACATACCTCAGAGGGATCTTTTCAAGGTCTCTAAAGACCACAAATATGTGTCTACACAACAGTCCAACCATCTCAAACATCTTGCAACTGCATTTGGCCTCATGGTCATTTACATTGTGCACCACACTAAATATTTTGTTCTTTCCATCCATAATATCATAGTGCAACATTCCACCGTCTTCTCTAACACTCAACACAATACATTTGAAACAGGTATTTCTTCCTGAACTTGATAGAAAACAGTAATGGTGTAGACGATTGAAGCGTGTTTTTCGATCCCCAGAGGCGTCTTCATATCTGGATTGTAGCCTTCATTGTCACTGTTGAGCTTTGCGTTTGTGTTACGTTGTGATTTAAGAGCACTGTCAAAGTTCATCATGAATTCAACTAGGCTAGACTGTGGGCCAGTAAAATGGCTGTACGTGTAGTTCTCACTTTCGGAACGAGACGTTGTCCTGAGTAGACCCCCCATAAAGTCATCTCTAAAATAAGCTGGGATCCAATGGTTTCTAGCCTCAAACATAGTTGTAAACCAATTGTGTTCGACTAAGTTGTACTTTTCCATGAGCTCTCTCCACTGTTTCTCAAAATCAGGAGGTTCCAAAGATGACGTCCAAACAATTGAGTTCAGTTTATTCTTGAACTCCTCATTCTTGTTCAACGTATGACCCACCTTTTCCCCAACTTTACACATAATGTGCCACATGCAGTAACGATGCCTGGCTTGCTTGAAAACTCTTGGAATCGCCACTTTCATAGCTGGATCTTGGTCAGTGACAATTATTCTTGGTTCCATACCCATTGCCTTTTTAAATTTCTCAAAGAGCCAAACATAAGACTCAATGTCTTCTTTCAACAATAGTCCAGCGCCAAATGTTATACATTTTTTATGGTTATCAACTCCGGTGAAGGGTGTAAAAACCAGATCGTACCTACAAGATAAAAAGCGTCATCACAGTATACAGGTGTCAAACTGGCGCACTTAGAGCATTAGCGTGACGCACATTAAGTCTTAAAATCGCAGACACATGTACTTGAAGTCTAATTCTGGATGTTACTCATTAATATGCGCGACATTAGTGTTTAAGATGCGTGGTATAAAGCGACAATGTGCGTTTTCTTATATTACAATTCTTTTCAAGTAAACAGTGAACATGTCTAAATCTTAACCTGGCTCAACATATCAGGCAATGCTTAATGTGAATTAATTAATGAAACGTACGCAAGAATATGAATAGAATAATACCTGTTGGTTGAATATGTGGCATCAAAAGAGACAACATCTCCAAATGCAGCAAAATTCTTTTTTGACATTGGATCTGTCCAAAACAGTCTACTCATCTGCTCATCTTCATCAACTTCGTAGTCAAAAGCAAATGCAGGGCACATCTCTTGTTTTTTAATAAGATTATGCACGAGTATTTGTGCATCAGCACCCAATATGTATGCTCTGAGATCCCTTCTGACATTTTAAAGTCCACTACAGTTGCTCCAACTTCAGAGTAATCCCCCACAATTTGACTGTATAAACCGTGTGATTTGGATGCTCCAATATTTGCCTTAGCACAATCTAGTATAAACTTCTGATGAACACTGGAGATGTTTCTATTTCCCTTTAGGAACTGCCTTGCAAGAACAGAAGACATGCTGTGATTGTGTTTTTCAATAAATGTCTTAACTTGGTACCCAGCTGCTCCAATGTACTTAAAAATAATCCTAGCTTTGCAACCAGTTCTGTTTGAAACCCTCCGCCGCTTTGGACGCGAAGGACCTTCCCCCGCATCTGCAGTTGGTTTTGAGTGACAATGTTGAGCACCCGTATTCTTAAATCCCTCTCTATTGCAAACGATTTGCTTTTGAATTTTCGTCCCGTCGCGTGCTGTAGTGAGGGAACTAGACCTCGTGTCAAACCCGACTTTGGCAGCAAAATTGTTGTAGAATTCAATACCGGCATCCAATGTTTTAAAAATCATGTCAACCGCTGGTTTGATTTCATCTTCACAGTGCGGAGTCCAATACTGCGTCATTCCAGGAGATATGGTCAATGTATAACCGTTGCTACTGCTGCTGCTGGGGCTCAAACTGGGGTTGTTCAAAGATTGCAAGTCATTGGGAACTGTAACACATAAGCATGAAGTTATTATTGCGTTGTTGCAAGCCTCTGCGTGCGTAGTGTGAATACTTAATATGCGTTAATTTAATCAGATCATTGTCAATATGTTAGGTTTATAAAATACAAGAGTACGTGCGTCAGGTGAGCACTTAACGTGCGTCAGGGTAATAGTTAGGGTGCGTATGTTGAACAGTTAACATGCGTAAGTGTTTTTTAAAATGTTAGGCCATTAGTTAACGTGCGTCAGTGAGTCCATTAACATTAACATGCGTCTAGAAAGCAATGAACGTGCGTGTGTTTAACAGATAACATGCGTAAGGGTTGTGTAAAATTTTACGCCGGTAATTAACCGGCATCAGTGAAAACTGTAATATGCTCATCTGTAAAAATTAACATGCGGCAACCTAATCATCTACGTGCGTAAGTCTTTAGGCTCGGAATAATTACAGTAGGTCAGTAATTCAGTTGTTCAGTTGCATGCATGTAGTTTTTAATGTGCGTGTAATTAAGACAAGAAGGAGGCCAATACAAGAACAGATAAAATTAATTCCAAATAAGCGATAAAATTTGGGTAATACCTTGATCGAATTCTTCCATTCTTGATCGGTTGACGTTGTTGCTGGGTTTAGGTTTTCGTTTGAAGAATAAGCTATTGAACGATGAAGAGAATAGATTTTATTGCCAATTTCGTAGAGATTGCAAAATCGTCTGAGATTAGGAAATATCAGAGATTAGGAATCAATGGTGAATTTTGAAAACGCGCAAAGAAGAAGAAGATCAGTAATTTTGAATTTTTTTTTAATATAATCAAAAGGACCAAAATGCCCTTAATGAGCAATTCGCGGTTATATTTTGCTGATAATCTTATTCGTTGGATCAACTGCTACGTAAGGCTTAGATTCAACCTCATTTCTCACGGGAAGGACTAAATGCACGCGAGCCCTTCCCTATATATATATATATATATATATATATATATATATATATATATATATATATAGATACTAATAGAAATTTAATGATATATAAGTTATATTATTTATTAAAATAATAATATAATATTTGTAGTGCAATATATAACCTAATAAACATAAATCAAGTATTAAAACAATGTACTTTTATTCCATGTAGCAGTGTGGTCATGAAATGAAACAATGTATTATCGTTTTAATTATACTTCATGTTCATTTAACAATATACGTTATTCAATGACCTTTATTTTTTAGTTTTGTTTTTCACACATTATTCAATGACCTTTATTTTTTAGTTTTGTTTTTCACACATACTAATTTTATTATAGTAACGCAAAAACATCATTTTAATTACATTTCAAGTTCATTTGACAATATATATTATTGTTGTAATTCTGTTCTTTTATTTCATTTTTTAAATAGTTATTTTATTATAGTAACACTAATGTATTATTTTAATTCTATTACAATTTCATTTAACAATATACATATCTGTAACTTGATACACTATTGGTTCATAGTAATGAAAAAATGGGACTGTATTGGACCATGGTCCACATAGCGCTATGTGGACCATGGTCCGCTATATAACAACTAGAGAACTTTTTGCATGATAATAGAGGATTGGATTTGCAATATTTCGTAGGAAAAGGGTTAAATAAGCCCTCAAACATTAACTAAAAAGTCAATTAGACCCCTAAACTTTTTCAAGTAGCAACCCCATTGATGGTAAACCGAAGGGATAGAACAAATTCGACGATTTCTGTCGGTTCTCCTCCATCCATCAGTGGTGGGCGCCGGCGAAAAAAAATCTCTGACGAACAGTTTAAAAAAAGGCAGTAGATAATTTCCAATTAAAAAAAAATTTACTTAATGCAGAAAAAAAAAAATCAACGATCTAGACAATTGCAAAAAGAAGAAAAAAAAATGTTTACATATATCATCTCAATTATACAATGTATATATTATATGCAAAATAATATGTTTATGCAATTAAAAACCAAGCAGAGATTATTAAGCTCAGATACCAACTATAAGACAAATTATGCCATAGCTCTTAGTCGATGGTGATTAAGTAATCCTGGATTGCCTGTGGAGTATCTTTTGATTTTGTTTCTCTGCTCAACTCTCTTTAGATGGTGTATAAGGAATTAATGATTAAGTTTTCAAAAAAAAAAAAAAAAAAAGACGAATTAAGGACGGGTTATGTTAAATAACCACATGCCATCAATGCGGTAGTGGTATGTCATTAGGTTTCCTAAACCCTAACAAGACTCGTAGTCATAAATAAGGAAAATACTTGGTGTACTCCCATTTTAAACTCCCAACTTGTACTCCCTCTCACATGTTTATGATGTAGACATTTTTCTGTGGACCCACATGCTCCATAAATAAGTCTACCTATTAGTGTTGCACCACATAACAAACATTTAATATTATCCAAACTTGTCATATTGTTATAATAATAAATAAGAAAAGAGCAAATTCTAACAATGGTCATCCGATTATATTGATTTTCTACAATTGGTCATTGACTTTTAATTTGGACAATTTAGACACTTGACTTACGAATTTTTTCCAATGTTAGTCCTTCTGTCAAAGGAAGGTTAAGTGGACGTTAAATTAAGGGATAAAGTAGTCATTTCAAATGCTTGGTGTATAATTCCTAAATCCATTACGTATATGCTTCGTATTTCAACCAAGGCGTCGTAATATCTCGACGACTCCCTCGTCAGCGACTATGAGTTCCACCCGTTCGGGCTCGAAAAGCCTGCCAAGTACTTGAAGTTCGAGTTGGACTCGTTGGACCAGAATTTGGCTAAGAACATTATCGGAGAATCATTGGGATAAGGACTGAAACCGCCGACGTGAAGTCCACGCCATTCCAGTCGTACAGTGAAGTTTTCAGGCTACAGAGGTTCAGAGAGTGTGAGCTGATCCATGACCGATGGGCCGTGTAGACAAACGCTGTACAGAATAAAGGGGGGCACGAATAGCATCACCCCTAAGGCGCAAATTATGCTGTGCAACCGAATGCAACATGCGCATGGTGCATACGATGCAAAACGACGTTGTTTTGGTTAAAAAACACGCGTCCCACTTAAAAAGAAATCAGGTTCGATTCCCGGCAATATCATTTTTATATATCCATAAATTCATAACTATATATCCATAAATTCGTAACTATATATCCACAAATTCATAACTATATATCCACAGTGAATGAATGAAGTAAAAATCCACAATAAATGAACTAAATATCCATAAATTCATAACTATATATCCAGAAATTCATAACTATATATCCAGAAATCCATAACTATATATCCATAAATTCATAACTATGTATCCACAGTGAATGAATGAAGTAAATATCTACAATGAATGAACTAAATATCCACAATGAATGAACTAAATATCCATAAATTCATAACTATATATCCAGAAATTCATAACTATATATCCACAATAATGCTATTGCCGAGAATCGAACCTGAATTTTTTTCTTTTTTAAGTGGGACGCGCATTTTTAGTCAAAACGACGTCATTTTGCATCGTATGCACCATACGCATGGTGCATTCGGTTGCACAGCCTAACTATTGCCCCTAAGGCGAGATTGAACGCCTAAGGTGCTGGTGGCCACCGCCGTCTACCAAGCAATTCTCACGCCCCCAACACCGTCATACACAGTAGTACACTAGTACCCATCCCACTTCTTCTTCCAACATTATGATGACACCATCTCCATTATCTCCAAAATGGGTTGTGTGTCTAGGGCATTAAAAATTGCTGAATTAATTCCTTTCATCCTCCATTATGTTAAATTGAGCCCCAAATTCTCTAATTTCATTTAATTAACCCCTCATTTCGCATAAAGGATGAAAAATACAAAAAATATGAGTTGGGGAACATAAACACAGGGAAGCAAGCAGCAGAAAAAATGAAGTGTTTCATGAAGAAGTGTGAGCTGCTAATAATGAAAGGGAAATCTCAGCCTGAAATTATCTTCATTTTTGTCTTCTTCTCCTACTACGCGACGGTTTCCTGTAGCTCCGAGAGTGGTTCCGAGAACACCTGGGCATGAACGGAGCTGCAGGGTGGAACAATGGACAACTTTAGTGAGTAATTCCTAATTGGTCGTCCACGATTTACTTCATGAAAAATAGCTCCATGAAAGGGGGTACTAAAGGTGCAGACTGTAATGTATGGTTCTTGGATGCGAGGAGGAAGGAAAATAGGATGGTCCCACCACATAAGTACATAGCTAAGAGGCTTGCAAGAACTCAGATTGCATCTTTCATAGGATTTAAGGTCGAAGAAAATTTTGATTTTTGAAATTATTTACAACTGTAGAAGGGAATGAAGAGGAAGACACTTTGATTTGTCACGAGGGAGCCGTCGAGATATTTCGGCGCCTTAGTGGAAGAGCGTATACAGAATGGATTTAGGGATTATATACACTAAGAAGTTGAAAAAATTACTTTACCCCTTAATTTAACGTCCACTTAACTTTCATATAATGGAAGGATTAACATTAAAAAGAATTCAAAATTCAAGTGTTATATTGTCCAAATTAAAAGTTAGGGACTAATTGTAAAAGTTCAATATAATTGGAACTGGAATTAAATCAATAAGATAACGTTACAGGATGATCCTCAAGAAGACAAATTAAAGCTGCCTGAACATGTGTTAAGCATGCTTCACTATTTCCCAATCCATTCCATGACAAAACAAGATCGAATGGCAGTTTAAGGTTACCAAAAGCTAGCTAGCTGCTTCTTGGCTTCACAAGTGATAGAATCGAAGGAAATATTACATGTGAGACTAAAAATTATTTTCATGAATGAAAATTTACACCTGACTGACTTAGCCGCAGCGCTTGTGTTATGACTTGAGGATGCTGAAATATACTAAAAACATAAGAAATTCAATTCTCCATTTCTAGCAAAAAATGTACTAACCTAGCTAGCCTTCATGTTAAGCCTCGCATCACTATTTCCGCGCTCCTTCACCATCGTAATACTAATCCTAGAGGGCTTGTAAGATACACGGCAAAAGAAACAGAAAAGAGACAGCAACTAAAATCTCTTTTGAACCACCAGAATTTGGCTGGTCTGGAACTTGAGGTCCAATCCCATTGTCCGGAAATGGGGCTGTAGTCGACGGAGGCGGCGGTGGTGGTGGAGGATAAATTGCCGGTGGTGTGGTACTTGCTCCTCCTGTTCCAGTTCCTGTTCCTCCTCCGGCAGTACTGTCATTTTTTGGGAATCCACAACATCAAAATTTAGCAGTGTGAAGCGGACATGTCTCATCGGCAAATTATTTAATTGAGTTAATTTTATTTTTAGTCTTAAATTTATAGGTAACAGTTCATTTTTAGTTTATTTTTATTAAAATATTTTTTTTGTCCTAATATTAGTGACATACCAATTTTGGTTCTTTATTTAAAAAAAATTGTTGAAATTTCGTTAAATACAAAGGCATTTCTCTCTTCAATTATGAATTTTTTCAAACAAATAAACATAAAAAATATAACGGGTCGACACACTTTGTATTAAAAATATCAAAACGTCATTCAATTTAACGAAATTTTAACAATTTTGTTGATAGAAAATCAAAATTGG